TATTGTCAGTTTTATGGAAAACAATGAACCTTGGGCCCATCTTTCCACTACATACTTTGCTTATTTGAGACAGGACCTCATGTAGCCCAGACTGGTTAGAGGCCAGGATAACCTTGAACTCCTGATCCTCCTGAGTCTGGCATTGCAGACATGAATCTGGCTCTATTGCACATTTTAATTACTGAATTTATTTGTATATGAGATTACTTTCAGAATCTGACGATTATCTGAGAAAACCTCTCCCAGGAAAAGTATAGGTTGTCAGTTCAAGGGTATACACACCCTCCCAGTGCAGGGTATTTACAGACCTCTGAGGCCAAGGCAGTGGTCCCAGATCAAGAGTTTCAGAAGGCAAGGATCATAGCCCAGTGAGCGCCTTTCATCTGTAATCAGCACTTGGGAGGCTGAGGGCTTCAGAGTGAGACTCTGTCTCCAAAACAGAGACAGGGAAGGGATGGAGAAGGGAGAGGAGGAGGGGGGGGAGGAAGAAAAGAAGGAGGAAAATGAGGAAGGGGAAGAAGAGGAGGAAGAGGAGGGAAAAGAAAAGGGAGAGCCAGGGTTACAAACAGTCCTTCAAAGACTAGAGTCCGAGGGTCTCCTGGTGGGGGCAGCCAGGTAGTCAGACAGTGAGTTACTTCTTCAGGGCTGGGGTATATGAACCGGCTTTAAGTCAGCGGCTATTTTTAGCTTCCCTTTATATGGCCAGGGAAGGAATGAGGGCTATAGCTGGGGGAGGGTGCCAAGAGGCTCTAGTCCAGGGGCCTTCCCCACCCCCACCCCTTCCCGTGCCAGAGCTGAAGAACTTAACCTTCCATCGCAGCAAGGCAGGGGAGAGCGGGCAGCTGGGTGGAGGAGGGAAGGCGCTGGGCAAGTTGCTTTAGAACAGGGACTTTCAACACTTTTGGCCATGGCCTGCAGCAACAACTTTTACAACACAACACGGATAAACACAATTTTTTAAAGACACACATGATACAAATATGTGTTTATACACTATGCACATGTATGTGTACATATATAACCTCAGTTAAATTTTTTTCAGGAAATCATGCTTCATCTTGTTCTCAATGAAAGACTCCAATAGTTTCTGTGCTAAACCTACCAGTCTTTCAAGCCAAAAACTGTAGGTCCTGACCCACTAAGTTGATCTGTCTACCAACAAACCCCAAACCATCACCTCCAGTCTGGAAAGCTGAGGTTTCTTGGTTTTAGGCACAGCTAACTGCAAGGCAAGGCAGCTTCTCAATAACCCGGACAAGGTGCAAGCTTCAACTGTCTGTGGAGACTGAGGAGCAAGCTTTGGGCCTCCCGGCATTTACGGACTCTGTCCTTTCAACAGAGTGGTCCAACCCATTCATGAACCTGTGATGGGGCTTAGCTCATCACTTTACTCCAAAAAGTCATCCCCAGTGCTGAAGTCCCAGACTCTTGCTCTAGTCCCTCACCTGGCCGGGCCTAGCACTGGCCACTGTGATAAGTGGCTCCTGTTACATTCCTGGCTCAATCATTCTGTCCTTTGTACACTTCCCAGTAAAGTGCAGTGCTTGCTTTGCAAAATACAATATGTGCCTATTGAATGAATTGATAATCTTTTTTTGGGGGGAGGGGTTTGAGACAGGGTTTCTCTGTATTGTGTTAGAGGTTGTCCTGGAACTTGCTGCATAGACATGCTGGCCTCAAATTCACAGAGATCCACCTGCCTCTGCCTCCTGAGTGCTAGGATTAAAGGCGTGCACCACCAAGACCCAGCTTGAATTGATAATAGCAACGACAACCACCATTTGCTGAATTCTGTCATTTTTCCCGTGTGACATAGATGAGAGTTCTGGCTAGCTGGCTCAGCAGGTAAAGCCACTTGCCTCTGAAACTGAAGTTCACTCTCCAGGTCATACGTCATGGAGAGAAAACCAACTCTCACAAGTTGTCCTCTGACCTCCACACATGCTGTGGTGGTCACATATACCTTGCCACCACCAAATAAATGTAATAATACTATTTTTAAAACATAGGAGTGGCTCATTCATGGGTGAGGAAACTAAGGCTTGGAAAGAATCCATTGAGGCAGGGTCGTAACCTGGGACTTGTCTTGCTCCCACCTGCTCCTAATCTTAGGATCTTATTTGTCTTCATTCCTCTTGGTGCCACCCAGGAGAGGTCAAGGGGCAAGTCCTTAGCAAACCCTCAGGGGACTGATGACAGGTTGATTAAAGACATTTTCCGAAGCAGCAGCCACGTCTAAATTTGGAGGGTTACGCCTTGCGTGCGGCTTGGGAGAGAGAACCTGAAAGGTTTCCCAGGTCCCTGGATGTGGGGCTGTCTCCCTGGGAAGGAGAAGGCAGGGCAAAGCAGAGCCGCTGGCCTTTGGACCACCTGGCCTCAAGAGCTCCAGGACACACCTGGGCTCAAACCCAGGACCCACAAACGAGGGTCACCCAGCCTACGTCTGCAATTCCAACCTGCCTCATCCTCCCAGTTCTTCAGACATGCTGAGCCTGGTCCCACCTCAGGTCCTCTGCATCTCCACTCCCTGCTTGAAGAGCTCTCCTCTCTAGTACTCCCCACCTGCATCTGAGACCACTTCATGCAACCTCTCTCTCTCTCTCTCTCTCTCTCTCTCTCTCTCTCTCTCTCTCTCTCTCTCTCTCATGAGAGAGGAGAGGGTAGTGTGTGTTTCCTGGTTTACCTGTCTCCTTCACTAAACGGGCTTCTGGGGGATCTTGTCTGCTCCCTAATCCAGTCCCTAGCACTAGGTATGGCCCAATGCCAGGTGGTCAGTGCCATTGACTGCAGGAATGAACCAGCTTCCTCCTTTAAGACCTTTGGCAGAGCAGCCCATTATACCCTGTGCTCACCCCACCCCAGCAATATGTAGCCCTGTGTATCACATCCAGATCTCCAAGCCCTTGGAAAGAGAGAAGAGATACAGGAAGGGATATTGGGCACGTGCCGCCATGCACCTTTCGCACAGATGACTGACACTCTATACCCACTCAAGGCCTGTGTCCGTTTTATTGCTGGGAAAACTGGCACCTGCTCTGCCTAGCCTCGGGTGCCTAGTACCATGTGTCCACTGAGTTGAACTACACTGAGTTGAACTACACGGAGTTGGAGGCTTAATGAATGACTCAAGGTCGCCAGAATTTGTCCTCAGTTCAATCCAGTTCCATCCAGTTCCACAGGGCTGTTCTATGAAGCTGGAGGGCCAGAGTTGAAGGCAGCTCCTCACCCAGGCATGCACCCCAAGTTGCTCTCAACATTGTCTCAGCCTGAGCAAACTCCCAGGGCGCTGCTGCTGCTTGGCCCTGCTCCCTTGCTCCACACACGGACTGCCCTTTTCCCTTACCCTGTCACAAGGAAGAATACATCGTAACTAAAATACCCTGCAAGCGGTTTCTCATGCCAAGTGTAATCATCTTCTAAAGTGCCACGCTCTGAGTCACACCCCACAGCAGGGAAGGATCATGGAAATACTCAACAGTGAGCGAGGTAAAGCTGCCTTTGTTGCTCACAGACGGTCTGATGAGCCCTGAACTTGCACCTTTGCCTGGGGGTAGAAGCTGGTTTTGTCTGCTCATCGCCCACATTCTGAGCACCAGTGTCCTGAGTGCTCCGTTATGTGAATGATGTAACTAAGGCTCAGGTAAACTGTGTCCAAGTCACACCCTGCAGGTGAAGTGAGGTATCTTCACTGCCATTTCCCAGTGCTCTTTTGCCTTGGAAAACTCCTCTATGTTTTCTTGAACCATTATGCCCTCTGAGCCTCTTTATGCCCCTCTCACTGGCACAGTCCCCCAACGCTTACTCTCATGGTCACAGATCTCCCACCAAAATCTAGCTCAGGAATTGTGTCTTGAAAGCCTGCCCTCGCCATCTTTTCTGCCACCACTCTCTGACATGTTTGTATATAATGCCTGCCTGCCTGCCTATCCTTGAAGCCAGAGTCTGTGTCCTAGTCCTCTTTGTATTTAGTCATTGGTGTAATGATTGACAAATAGGAGGTTCCACAGAAATATACATTGAAAAAGCTGGGGATGTAGAGTATTTGCCTGGAAACATGTGTTGGATGAAAGAATACACTGGGTGGATGGATGGGTGGATGGATGGATGGATGGATGGACAGGTGAGTAGCATCTGGTGAATGGATGGAGGGATGGATGGGTGAATGGTTAGCGTAAGTGGTTGGATGTGTGGGTGGATACATTGGTGAATAGATGGTAGATGGTTAGATGTCTGGGGTGGTGGGTGGATGAATGGGTGGATGAGTTAGTGGATAGATGGGTGGCTGGATGGGTGATAGGTGAATAGCTGCTGGGTGAATGGATGGATGGATGAGTTGGTGGATTGATGGATGGGTGAATAGGAGATGTGAGGATAGGCGGATGGATGGGAGAATGAATGGTGAGTGGTTGGATTGTGGGTTGGTGGATGGAGAGATGGAGAAATGAATGAATAGACACTCTTACCATACATCCTGTGAGTGGAATTTTCATAGCAAAGTTGAGGCCAACCCCCAGTTTTGCTAAAACACAAGCGAAAATCTAGCTGTTTGCATACTCCGAACGTAAACACAAACGATTACATCTTATCAAGTGTCTGATGAGTGTATATTTATATGACAGCCTTGTACTGATCATTTCTGCCAATCTTCTCAGTAACCCTTTTTATTGTCCCACCTTTACTGGTAAGAAAATATAAACAGTTGGGTGTGGTGGCACAGGGTTTTAATCCTAGAACTCAGGAGGCAGAAGCAGGTAAATCTCTGTGAGCTTGAGGCCAACCTGATCTACAAAGTGAGGTCCAGGTCAGCCAGAGCTATGTAGAGAAACCCTATCTTGAAAAAAAAAACAAAAAACAAAAAAGATACAAAGAGGCAGAGTAGTTTACCCAAAACCACACAGCAAATATTACCCTAGACCATCTATTTCTTTGCCAACTACCCTGTTCTTTCCCACTGTCCGTTCTGGACCCCAATCAAGCTTTACAGACTGAACCGGGCTCACCTCCATCTGCATAGGTCTCCGTGCCATAACCGTCCTGTAGGCCATTGTTCCAAGTGCCTTCATACTTGGCACCGCTGCTCGTGCTCTGCCGGATTCCATAGCGCCCCTTGAAGCCATGCGTCCACTCCCCCTTGTAGAGCCAGCGTCCCTTGGTCTCTATGCCAAGCCCATGTCGTTTGCCCTGGCTCCAGTATCCCTCAAAGGTATTCCCACTGGGCCAGGTGTAGACGCCCGCCACTTCAAAGCCAAAATTCCAGGAGCCCGAGTATTCACCCTGGCCCTTGGGGCCGGTGCACAGTCCGTGCCCATGTGCCTTCCCCCCCCTCCCAGCCCCCACAGTACGCTCCACCATCGTCAAAGTCAAAGCGGCCCCCGCTCATCTCATCCTCACTCCTGACCCCGGCCCTGTCCTCCAGCTTGGGCCGTTGGGATACCTGATGCTCTCCAGGCACCTTCAGGCTGAGCCCTTAGGCTCACCACTGGGCTCCAGAAAGGTAGAAAAAGCAAGAAGTCTGCAGAGGCTGAAAGAGCCCAAAGACCAAGTCAGCAGTGGGGGCGCTGGTCAGTGCCATGGCTGGGAGGTCCCCTCTGTTATCCCAGCAAGGCTGCAGCTGGAAGGGAAGCCGGCAGAAGAGGCTCCAAGATGCCACAGAGTCCCAGGTCCAGCTTCCATGGAATCCTGTGTGCCCTCTTTAAGAAGTGAAATAAGTGGAGGAGTCCTGTCTTTTCAAAGAGGGGCAATTCCCGAGTTAGTAGCCGAGCCAAGGCTGAATTCCTGCTGCCCACCCTGAAGCAGCCGCTGGCCCCCTTCTCATCCACTCCAGTGGGCGTGCGGCTCAGATCGCCCAGCTGCCCCGCCCCTTCTCCAGCCCAGCCTTCCTCCCAGGATAGAAAGGTCAGTGTTGCCCTAACAAGGCCATTGGATCTCAGAAGCTGCTCCCAAAATAACCCCCTGGCTGGCCCAGCCTCCTTCAGAGCCGGAGGGAGGGGGGCTTCCAATCCGCTGGGCCTGCAGACCCAGGCAGTGGCTGAGGGCTGAGCAGGAAATCTGAGAACCAAGTGTAGGCAGCCACGCCACTTGGTGGCTTGCCTTCTTGTGGGTCTGAGCTGCCTCCCATCTGGAAGTCCCCAGGGTCCGCAGGCAGGGAGAAGAGTGTGAGACCAGCAGACTACCCTATCCCGGACCACTTCATATCCGCCAAATAGCAGAGGGTGACAGACATAGGGACCTACAACTTCTAGCATGGCGTGACAGGACCTGCGGCTTCAGGACCACTTGCCAACCCCACTGAAGAATCCAGTGACCTACGGAGACAGGAATGGGGAGATGGCTGCCCATATGCCTTTGAAAGCAGAATGGACCTCAGAGAGGAGAGGGTCTAGCCACAGTCTGAAAGTCAGAGTCCTGTGTTCATGTCCCCATCCGACCCCACACCCAGCCCAGGTACCTGGGGAGAGAACCCTGGCAGAAGGAATCAGTTCAGGAGGCTGGGGAGATGGCTCATTTGTAAAGTACCTGCCACTTAAGCTTGGGGACTTGAGTTGGCTACCAACACACACACACACACACACACACACACACACACACACACACACACACACACACACACAGCACAAAGCCAGATGACATGCGCTTGAAATCCCAGAACTGGGGAGGTGGAGTCTGGCATGTCCCTGGGGATCACTAGCTGGACAAGATAGCATAATTGGTTAGCTCCAGGCTAATGAGAGACAATGTTTTAAAAAAAATTGGTGTGTGTGTCTAAGGAACAACACCCAAAATTGACGTCTAGCCTACACACACACACACACACACACACACACACACACACACTTCCATGGCATGAGCAGAGACTGCTATCCCCTCTACTGACATCGGCTGTGGGCTGTAGTACAATGACAGTCACTTAGAAATACTCAAGATCATTAGTTTTGCAATCCCCCCTTCCCAAATTTGCTTCTGTTCCAGCATCCTAAGAGCCCTCGAGGCCAGGCTTCAAAAGGCTCTTGGGGCAGGAGCAAAGGACGTGCATGGGTTTCCAGCACCCTGGTTTCCACCAACCTCCAATTAGAAAAAAATGTCCAAGGCAAGGAAGACACTGTAAGCCAGGATCCAGGGTGAACGGGAATGATTCTGGAAAAGGTAAACACCACCCAGAAAGAATTTGAAGTTGTGTGTATGTTTGTGCACGCGCGTGTTCATGCACACACACACACAAGTGTGCATATGTTCATAGTATATCTGGAATGGAGGAAGGTTAGAAATTTTTTAAAAATTGAGGTCCAAGAGAGAATTGGACTCTTGCCTGACTCAACCATGTCTGTCTGATGTATTTCCAAGTCCCATGATGACTTTGGCCACTGAACGTCACTGCAGACATTTCCTGCAGAGTTCCCTGGGCAGAACGTGTACTCAGCCTTCCTCAATACTGATAACCAGTTCTTATGACTTGGTTCCTGCTAATTGCTGGGTATCGTGATCATGTGCATAGCCACTGATCTTACAGAGTCCCTTTGGTGTCTACACAAACTGTCGTCTTGGCCAAGTGACTGGCGCCCTGCCCAGGTGGGCCTTTGACCTGTTCAGGCAATCCCCCACTAAGAACACTTTTCCCATTTCTTTCCCAAATTCTTTCCAGCTTGGCAATCACGGAAAGTGGAATGAGCATTCAAATGGAGAGGGGTGTGGGGTGCCTCTGAGTGTCCACCAGTCACTGTAATGATGACCTAAGGTTAGGTATATTCCAGGAGGGGGTCGATCCACATACATTTAGCCCCTTTTCACCTACTGGCTCCCTGTGATGGAACCCTTCCAGAAGAGTCACCTGCAATCTAGATACTAAATACCTTAACTTTGAAATGTTCTATCTGTTCCTGCAGCATCACCCTGTGGTTTTGCTACTGATAGAATATATCACTAGGAGAGGAACACTTTGATTTTGTAAAAACAAAATTCAGATTGCAGAATTTGGGACTGGCTTTTATTTGGCAATCAGCCATTGCTGAGCTTTTAGAATTCTGGGGAAAGCACGCCCTCTTGTGGTTATTATAACAGACTTTCCTTAGGTAAACAAAGTTTCAAACCAAACTGGTTTTAAAGCTGTATGGTGCTGGAGAGATTAGCTTTAAAACCAGCTTGATTACTCTTGCGAAGAACCTAGTCTCAAGTCTTGGCATCCACCTAGCTCACAACCATCCCTGTAACTCCAGTTCCAGAGGATCTGATCCCTTCGGTACTGCATGTATGTGGACATACACACAGGCAAAGTTATTTATACACATAAATATATGGGGGAAAAGTGTCTTCCCAGGGTTTTTGCCACTGCCTGGCTATGTCATCAGAGGCAGCCACCCCTTTAACTTCCTTCTCTATTTTTCACATTGGGCTGCCTCCCGGGGAACCCAGGATGGGGAGGGAACCTAAGAGGGATTTGACTTCTGAAAGCCTGGGGAGGGAAGACCCACCTTTCAGGAACCTGTTTGCATAGCATCTGGGTCAGCACCCCTCTCCAGAGTCTGGCTCCTCCCAGACCCCCGTGCAAAGCCAAGGAATATCCTTGTTCTACTATATAAATACTTGGTGTTTGTGTCCCACACTGGTCCACCCATTCCTGTCTCTTACCAAGTGTGCAGCTGAGACCTCCCTCGTTAAAACTGCTTTTTCAGTTTGAGTACTCTTTGGTTAGCCCACTGCCCCAACAGGCCCTGCCTGCTCCCTGACCATTGTACCTTGAACATCTGGGACCTTCCCTTATTGGAGACAAGATTTCACAACGTTGCTCAGGCTTGTTGAAATCCTCCTGCCTCAGTTTCCTGAGTTGCAGACTACAGTTGCCTAGTACTGTGCCTAGCAATTACTCGACTGTGTGTGTGAATCACACGTGTGCTTTACCACTAAGCCCCCTTGTCGATTTTTAAACTACACCTGTTTCTTTTTGTGTACACATGTATACGGCACAATGCAGGTGGAGGTCAGAGGACAGCTTTCAGAAGTTGGTTTTCTCTTTCCACCATATGGGTCCCAAAGACTTAACTCAGGTCTTTCACCGTGGTGGCAAGGGCCTTTACCCAGGTCATCTTGCCTGCTCCTCTGATATATTCACAGCCTAAGTGTTCTCTTCTTATGCCTTTAAAAACTTTTGTTTTTTGAGACAGGGTTTCTGTTTAGCCCTAGCTATCCTAGAACTCGGTAGACCAGGCTGGCCCCAAACTCACAGAGATCCACTTATCTCTGCCTCTCCAGGGCTGGGATTAAAGTTGTGTGCCACTATCACCCAGCAAAAACATTTTAATTTCAAATAGATCTTTCTAGCAGTTTCAGAACAAAAAAAAAAAAAAAAAGGCAGAAAGTACATCATTCACACAAACTCTAATTTCTATTAAAATCTATCAGCATTTTAAAAAACTCATATACTAATAGCGTCTAAATTTGGCTCTCCAGCTGTGCCTCTGAGTTCAGTAATTTTGCAAGCACCCACTCAGCTGCTCTGCATAGCTAATAAGCATCAGAAAAGAACAAAACTAAATTCCCAATCCCTCCTCTCAAATCTGCACCAAACTTGTCTCTTCATAAGTCTTTCCTTTACATGCCCACCAAAGGCTACCTCGCTGACCAGGAGCCAAAGCTTTTCAAAGTACCCAGTGATTATCCACAAACTGACCCCACCCTGCACCTCTGACCTCACTTGCTCCAGCAATCTTTAGATTCTCGAGGTTCTGTCTCTCATGAGTACTCTTCAACTATCCATACAGCTCACTTGGATTCCTTCAGGTCCAACACCACTTTTATCACAAACACTTCTGGGCCTGAAATGCAACAGAAATCTCACCTTCCTAACCTAACCCTTCCTACCTCCTAATCCTTTCCCACCACTTATATTCCCCACTGACAAGGACATTGTTCTGCCTCCTGTTGTATTCCCAGGCCATGTACACTGTGCACTGCTTGTGCTACAAACAAGAAATACCCAGTGACTGCTTAAGAGTACCAAAATAAAGGAACGTAGAAACTAGGAGGTTCCTTCAGAATGAGTCCATGCACTCACTTCAGTCATCACAGAATCCATTTCTCAGGACTTAACAAATTAGTTTGGTAACCACAGAATCCATTTCTCAGAACATGTCAAATTATCTTGGTAACCACACCACAGGACCCCCTAGGCCCTTTGGCAAAGATCAAGTGTGATGAGTCACATCCACAAGGGTCAAATGCTCTCCTTAAGTTGAAACTTCCTCAATTGGATATGACCAGGATAATTTTTAACCTCGGGATTCATGTTCATGTTTGCTGTTTTGAGACAGGGTCTTGGCTTGTAGCCCAGGCTGTCCCTGAACTGATTCCTCCTGTTGCTGCCTCCCAAGTTGTAATTACAAGTGTGTCAGATAACACCCCAGCAAGACTGTTTTGAGGAAGACCCTGAGTGGAATACAAGTAATTTATGGCTTATTCCCGCAATCTGAAATTTCTAAGCTCTACTCTGACCCATTCAAGAAGTTACTAGGTCATTTCAACTCTGTGCTTTATAAAACAAAGTATTTAAAAAGGCTTAGGAATGCATCTGAATTCATCTTAAGTAGCTTGTTAACTACAAAAACTTTCCCCACAGTAAGACAAAACACTAACTGTTGGAATGGAATCCTTACAATGAAACACCCTCTGTAAGTGGCTCTCTGTAGTCTGGACCTTTTGAGGAATCTGAAAGTTCAGTTTTCATGGCACTGAGACATAAGACTGGTGATCACCTCATTTGTGGTCTCCTGACAGAATACATGCAGCTGATGTCCTCAAATTACAATAGTATAGAGATGTGTGAAACAAACTATTCTTTCCTTGGAAAAGCTGTCTGTCTTTAAGATGTAGGAAACAGCCGGGCGTTGGTGGCGCACGCCTTTAATCCCAGCATTTGGGAGGCAGAGGCAGGTGGATCTCTGTGAGTTCGAGACCAGCCTGGACTACCAAGCGAGTTCCAGGACAGCCTCCAAAGCCACAGAGAAACCCTGTCTCGAAAAACCAAAAAAAAAAAAAGATGTAGGAAACAGCCAGGCAGTGGCAGAGACCGGCAAATCTCTTGAGTTTGAGGCCAGCCTGGTCTACAGAGAGAGTTCTAGGGCAGACTCTAAAGCTACAGAGAAACCCTGTCTCCTAAAAACAAAAGCACAAAACACACTTTCTATCACCATGTTTAGTGCCATGGTGACATTTTGCTCCTTGCCCTGACAATCATCTCCCTACTAGATGCATACTAAGCTAGCAGCCGTCTCTCAAAGCTTAGATTCTGTTCTAGTATGTTTCCCACTTCTCCCAAGTGCAAAGGACTCATTTGTGAAGTACAGATCCACTACCCTGAGCCAACTCTAAGAGGTACTTCAGAGAGCAGCAAAGTCTTTCCCTGCAAATCCAAATCAAACAAACTTCCTATTATCTTCCCATGACTGAACATTTTCACAATTGGTAGGTATGTATAATGTGAATTAAAATAAAGCTACAAGGCACACACTTTGAGTGCAGCACTCAGGAGACAGAAGCAGGCAGATCTCTGAGTCTGAGGCCAGCTAGAACTAAATAGGAAAACCCTGTTTTGAGCAAGGAAAAAAGGAACCAAGTCACCTGGAAAAGGTAAGGCCTCACGCTCCCAGTTTGTGAGCTCAGGCCCTTTAACCAATCTTTGGAGGGGATTTTACAATGATTCATCCACCAGAGTATATTAGGATAGCTATGAAATCCTTTTGAGTTGTAACTGACTGCAAGAAACACATCACATAAACACCAGGGAGGGAGACAACATAACATTCACACATACCTCAAATGTTTAGCAGCAGCACTTTAAACAGCTTGAGAAACACCACACCAAACCTCTGGATAACAGCACCAGCAGGGGTTTATTAATGATAGTAAGGGTAATGACTTCCTCAAACAATATGGAACAGGCCACCTGGTTTAATCAAACTGAATCTAACCCTTAGATCTGACTCAACAATAACATAAGAAACCTTTAATGACACAAACCCGTGTTAAACCAAAGACAGTTTAAATGAGTCTTAGAAGCTCTACTACTGGTAGGCTGGCATCTACAACAGAGTGTTCAGTTCAGTTACAAAGCACATTGGAGTTTCTTGCTGCCACATCCTAAGCAGGTCTGAAATACGCTGTCTTACAAGAACTTCACACACCCCACTGCTGCCAGTCTCCAGCCACGGTTTCTTCAGCCCTCAGAACATTTTTAGGAGGTTTTCTTTGACCTGCTTGCCTTAACGGGTATGTAAGAACTCAGTAAACTGACAGAATGAAGATTAACTGAGATGCCAAGAGAAGTTTTTATTGCAAGCACAGTGAGCAGAAAGAGATGTCTTCTCACAGAGTAGCCACCAGGTTTGTCGTTAACTAACCCTCTGACAACCTCGCATTGGTTTAAAGCACATGAATCCACTTCGCGTTAATCAGGTGTACATCATCTCTGCCATGTGGGACATTTTCTTAGGGATATACAAGTAATACTCCATGTAGCCTGACAGGTCCTCAATGGTCACATCATCCACATAGACACGAGCTTGCTCGGAACAGGATCGAGGGGAGCCAGACAGAGTTCTGGTGTGCAGTGATGGAGAGTAGTCCTCAAGTGACCTTCGTTCTGGGGCCAAAGGAGGGACATTCTGCAGACCTGAAAAGGAATACACTTCCATATCGTGCCATCTCTTGCACTGGCACTCCTTGCCTACACACGCACATGGCTTGCCTTGGCTTAGCTTGGAAACAGACCGAAAGTCAGAGAGATCACTGGCTGTAAGACTTTCTTGGGAGACTTGGGTAGCATCACAGGGCTCTTCTGTTTTACTCTCTGATGGGAGCCTCGGAACTGAACTTCTCAGAGGCTCAATGCCTGCCCCTGTGTGATTAACATCAAGAGAAATAGAGGTCTCTCCTGTGTTGAACTCCTTGGGGCTTGAAATCCCCAGCCCACTGCTGCCGTCAGGTGGCTCAGTCTGGCTTCTGTGCTTGAGTTGGCTGCTGGGAGGAGATGCTGTGGTGCTGCAATGTATGAACTTGGGAGGATGAAGGACAGGAGACTTGGAGCGTCGACGACGCTGGGTTCTCACTGCTCCTCGTGAAGACTTCCTTGTAGACCTAAAAGAGACAAGCACACCAGATGTGGAGATACAGAGCCCTCCTGAGAGAGGCCACATGACAGCTGGAAACAAGACTCTGGGTGTAAGGTCATGAATGCCTCCATTTTCAAGCTGCCTGAAGTCTTTGTGTCTCAAAAAGTTCAGCATTCCTCATTAGCAATCTATAGAAACAAGTGAAATAACACAACCACCCAGATCAGACACCACTGCAGGAGAAGCAGATAAAATTGATGCAGTCCCCTCAGCCTGAATGTGGTTCCAATACCAAGGTTAATGCTACAAAAGCCACTATGTGCCAGTACTATCAAACAGGGCATCAACATTACAAATCACTTCTATCACTGGCAACAGCCAGCAAAAACAAACAAAAGTAACATAGAACCCGAGAGCTGGCTCAGTCAGTAAGGTACTTGCCATGCTAGCACCCATGTAAATAAGCTGGGTGCAGTAGCATGCACCTGTAATTCCAGTGCTGGGAAGACAGGAAGATCCTTGGGACTTGTCGTCCAGCCAAGTAGGGGAGCACCAGATTCAGAGATCTTACCTCAAAAAACCAGGGGGAGAGCAAATGAGGAAGACAAACAGCATTAACCTCTGGCCTTCACATGTGCTGAGTACGCAAGCACAGTAGCACAACCCCCCCCATTTGATGTCCCTGAGATTTCCAGAAACTGAGAATATTACACTATACAGCTACTTATAAAACATTTCAATAAAAAAAAACTGAATGAGGAAAAGGAAAGTTAAAAACTTCCAAGCAAAATTAGAAAAAAAACCAGCAGGACTTATAAATGGGGTTTAAAAGGAGAAAAAAAACCTTTTATTTATTTGGGGGAGGATGTGGCACCTTTATACCAGAGCACATACATGAATGACATCTTTTGGGAGTTGGTTCTCTCCTTCCACCATGTGGATCCAAGAAACTGAACTCAGAGCTTCAGGCTTAGTAGTGCTCAAGCACCTTGACCCAGTAAGTCATCTTCATGGCCCTGATACAGAACTTTGAGAAATAAAAATCAAACCGGGTGTGGCAGCACACATTTAATTCCAGCGCTCAGGAAGGCAGGCAGGCAGTACTC